AAAGGGTGAGAGTAAGCAACCTTGCCTAACACCAGTCTTTACTTGAAACGAGTCGGTGAGTTGTCCTCCGTGGACGATTTGGCAGTTTAGTCCATCATAGGAGTTCCGTATGATATTGACTATCTTCTCAGGCACGTCGTAGTTTCGAAGAAGCCTTCATAGTGTTGTCCAGTCCACGCTATCAAATGCCTTCTCATAGTCGATGAAGTTGATGTAGAGTGATGAATTCCATTCGATTGATTGTTTCACAATGATACGTAGAGTTGCGATTTGATCTGTGCGCGATCTATCCTTACGAAATCCAGCTTGTTGATCTCGAAGTTGAGCGTCCACGGAATCCTTCATCCTGTTTAACTATACTCTGTTGAAGACTTTTCCTGGTATTGAGAGGAGAGTGATGCCCCTGTAGTTGTCGCACTTGCTCAGATCGCCTTTCTTTGGTATTTTGATCAGAAGTCCTTTTTTCCAGTCTGTTGGTACTTGTTCTTCATCCCAAATCTTACTGAAGAGGATGTGTAGTATCTTGGCAGTTGCTGTTACATTTGCTTTCAGTGCTTCTGCCGGGATGTTGTCTGGTCCCGCTTTTTTGCCGCTCTTGATTTGTCTAATGGCCATGCTGATCTCTTCAATTGTTGGTGGGCCGACATCGATTGAGAGGTCTGTGAATGCTGCTTCGATGTTGGGTGGGTTCAGTGGAGCTGGTCGATTTAAGAGTTCTTTGTGGTGTTCTACCCACCTGTTTCGTTGTTCTTCAATGTCGGTGATTACTTTGCCTTCCTTGCTTTTCGCTGGTCTTTCTGGCTTACGGTAATTTCCAGCAGATCCTATCGGTTACTATTCACTTATTCTTTGTCCGGATATAACAACCAATATCACCACGAAAACATAGTCACACGATTTATTTATGTTCCTCAAAAAACGACAATCCTTTTGATAGAAGAGCTAGTAGACTCACTAATGAGTCATGAGAACTTCATGGATAGTACACCACATCACTGCTATAAAATGTGATCTACTTACAATAGTTCTTGTTTTTGGATCATTTAAAATAACACTTAAACAATTATGAACTTTCTCACTCATTAAATTTTGTTTATCATTCTTTTAGTTAAATAAAGCAAACAATCAAGTTAAAAACAATTAATCTAACCAATATTACATGTTATTGTTATAAAAATTATATGCCAAATAGAAAATATTGAGTAATTCATAAAATATACTATCAATCTTCATTTATCTTTTCATCTAAATTCTAACGAATTTGAATTTGTTCAACTCCATCCTTAATTTAGTTATAATATAAGGAGTATAAGAAAAAGAGAATTCAGCGAAGAAAATTTTTCTTTTCGACGAAATCAATGACTCAATGACATTATGAGTTATTTTAGTTATATAAGGAGTATATTTTCTAGTAATTATCATGACGTATTTTTCATTAATAAACATCTTACATTAAGTTGATTAATTTGTTAGAAATCTAATTTACATTGTAATTTGTCATTATTTTCAATTTTTTTGGGATTTCTTAATTATTGTAATTTTTCTTCTTAGTCTAGTCAATCGTGTGTTCAATATTACTGATCCGTATTGTGAAAAACGAATCCAAATAATTGTTTTGATTAGTTATTTAAAGAATTTATGTTCTATAGATGAATTATTTCGCATTTATAAATGATTCATTAGAAAAAAAGTTGGAAAGTTTTTATTAAAATTTATGTGCAATTAAAAAAATTAATAATTAATTTAATGTAAGTTCTTTTAACTCCGCCTGTAGCTCCTCAGGGGGCTACTACTGGTCCCAAGCCTGGGTAAAGGAGGAGGGTCGGGTATGAGGTTAGCGACCCCAACCCGTAGCAAACTAAATCGCTAAAACAAACGCTAACCAGAAAAAAAATAATTCAGACCATTTAAATTCTGCCCTGGGAGTTGAAGGAATAATTATGACGCCTCAAGATGAAAGCCGAAATTTTTCGGTAGTCACGAGGTCGATGCACCTTCTAACAACCAGAGCAACACTCTTTATATGTAAGTTCTTTTAATTATTCAAATATATTTCAATTATTTACTAAACGTTAATTAATGAGTTCATTTTCATATGATGAACATTTTTAGTTTAAATTAAATTTGATATTAATTGTTTAACTATTTTAACTGTATAAATCATTTTATATTTTTACATTTTGATCTGTTGATAAATTTAATTATAGAAATAAAAATATTTAAAAAAATCCCATATTGTGAATTAGAACAACATATATATAAGCGAACAATATTGTTTTCGATTAGATTCTCATCAGGCTTTACTCTAATATACAGTAATAATAGGATTACGTAATTTTATAATTTTTATGAATGTTATTTCAGTGTCTATATTTTTCTAATCATTGACCTATTTCCCTGTTATGTAACATTGATTCAAGCCTTTTATTATTCTCATCACAACTAGTACACTTGTCATCACACTACCAATTTGTACTTTTCACTTATTATGTTGATTTATGTAATCTATTCCACTGTTATCATCGACTCATAAACTGCCTTGATTGGTTTAATAATTTCGTATATGCATATACATATTACTATATATTAGAGTAAAGCCTGATGAGGATCTAATCGAAAACAATAGTGTTCGCTTATATATGTTGTTCTAAATAAAAAATATGATTTGTAGAATAATAAGAATTCATTATTAGATTTCCAGGCTTCTCATCAACCAATAAACGATCTACATTTATTGTGTCAATATTGTCATTACTGCGATTAATGAAGTTTATTTTGAAATGATTATAAGAAACTAGATGAAGAAATAATATACTTGACGTAATAATTAAGACTGATTAGTATTTCTATATTGAATATACGAAGAAGAGGACGAGGTTATAAATGAGATAATCAATAAAAACAAATTATTACCAAATGAGTGATAATCAAGACACCCAGTTGACATGAAATGAAAACTAACGTCGTAAATGGAATGTCTGTGGAATGCTTCGTTTTTTAGTGTCATGGAATACAACAGTTATTAATGGCTTATTTTTGTCTGGTTTTAAATAGTGAGTCACGCTTTTTTAAATGGAGTTGGATTACTTACATTCTCCACCTCGCTTCCCCGCTTTTCATTCTTAGTACCTGCCTGAACAACTGAGTGCCTGAAATAAATCCATTAAACTCAATCCGTATTTAGCTTATTATTACCACCGTTGGACAAACAGGGTTAGCCTTGGTGTAGTATACGGAGTTAAGTGAAAGATTTATCTTCATGTTATGTTCATTTGTTCTTCCGAAACGGAGTCACATCGATATGCCACTAAAACTCAACAAAAGACAAGAAAGTCCTAAATTTTATTTCTGACATGTGATCAATAGAAGTCTAAGTGATGCTCTTTCTCACTTTTTATTCATCCTTTGCAATTAGAAAAGAGGTTCAATACAACTTATTTCGTTATTTATCCATTCTCCATTCCATTTTTGATTTCAATCAAATTGAAGTGAATTTCTAATCCAAATGCAGTTACTTCTAGTACAAGTCAAGAGAAAAATAAATAAATAATAGCATATTCAATTCATTTATACACCTTTGATGTTAATCTTTGCCTGTAATGTGAAGATTATTTAGAAACATTCTACCCCACTCATTTAAGTCAAAAATTTATAATTTGCTCGTAATTTTATTCATCAAATGAAGACAGACAAAATTACAATCGAAGTGACAGTTTTTACTTATTAATAATAAGGATTTCACTGATATTTTCATTTATGTAGCGAACAGTGCTTCATAGTTTGAATATGCGTAGTATATAATTTTAACCTAACGCACATTTAGCTTTATAAAAAATCAATATATCTAACATGTATTACTGTGCTTTATACTACTTATGTCAACATAACTAGTATATAACAACAGTCAGGGATGGGATACCTGATAGCAGAAGGTTGGGAAGATTGAATTGAAGAGAACAGGAGCAGAGAGAAATATTTGTGGCAATGAGTGAGCTATGAAATTCGAGACAATTGAAGGAATATTTGCAAACGAAGTATTTTATGTATGGTTATTACATTTCAGTTCTGTAATTTCGACTTAAAATACATTGATTGAACCCACCTGTCTTCTCGTTCAGCATATAGCTAACTGCAAATTTTTTATTCTTTCATTTCGAATTTGTTGTCTGCAACTGGTAAATGTGTGTTTCATTACTTTTCCTCCTGGTACACTTGATGACACTATCTACAGAGAAATGCATCAATAGCATGAAGACAAACACATCTTGTAAAGATGATATGACAATGTGTTCCCGTGAGTTTTTGTGTTATTTATTGAAATCGTTAAAAATAAGCACTGCAGTTAATTATCGCATCCTAACTTTTATTTTTAAAGCACAAACGCTTATTTAAACTTTTACTGTGGTAAATTACTTCACTAGGTAGTAGAATGACAGTACTGCCAGAGAAATGATTGATTGATGAATATGAACCAGAATGTTGGTTGTGATTGAAATGAATCACTGTCAGATATGTTATTTGAAATTATTTTATCCTTTTCTGCAATACTCAGGGAAGTGACAAAATTAACATATGATGCAGAGTTGTTGATGAGTCGATTGGATTTTTTTGTTCGTAATCGTAGTTTCTACGCTAGTACCTGGGATCAAGTCGGTCAACTCGCACGAGGGACTCGAACCCAACACTTTCGATCTCGCGAGCAAATGCTTCATGTCTAGACCACTGAGCCGACATCCAACGGTGTTAATGTCTAGTTCTAGTGAGAAGCCAAGACCCGTGTAGTCCAATCAGTGTCGGATGGAGACAGTTATCCATCTCAGACAATGAATGAAGGGTTGCGCGAAATTATGGATCGATTGAAGTTAGACATTGAAACTGTAGTTGTCGAGTGCCGTGTGTGGGATTGTGGTTGCGCCCTGCTCAGTCGTCTAGTGCTTACAGGTTTATAATGTTTGTCTAGCTTAGATCGACTGATGAATTCAACTATTAAAATTACTACAATGTATACAAATTCCCATTCTGATAAAGAATAATTAACAAAAAACTATTATCTAGGCATCTTTAGTCAAAAGTAAAAACATTTAAATGGTTTGTTTAGATACTATCAGAAAACCTAGACAAGCAAGACAGAACTACACGGATATTATTGTGGAATAATCCACAAAATTCCTTTAGCTGAGAAAAATCAAAATGAAGGTAATCCTGAACAAAGCAATTCCGTTCAAGCTTGGTATATGAGTTAAAATTTAATATAATGCTTTACAATGCTAGCCATCAGACAGGCAAAAACGTTACCAGTATAATGGAATCTTACAAGAAATAGATAGTGGCAAAATGAAAAATACGGAATGATATTATGTTAATAGACTAGATGTTAAAGAGAATCGTCAGTCCCACTGTAACCAATTTCGAGGAAACCAGTATTTTCACAAAAAAATTTATTGAAATTACTTGGAAATACAATACATAAAAACCAAAACTATAACCTGTGTAAGAATAAACTCCTCATACCTTTATCAAAAATTTGATTTTGATCAAGAATCACGAAAGCGCTTAAATTCCTGTTGTTACTCATTTCCGGAACAAAAGTTATATGTGCATGAATATAAAAGTAGAATCATAAGAATGTTTGAGACTAAAATCGTTTTATATGTAAATTAACAATATAAATATAATATATTGACAAAAATTCAAGAGGTTAAGCTGTTCCGTTTGGGAATGAATGCTTATATCCATGTAATCCGTGAAATACATAAGTTATAACAAGCTTTTGAGGTGTAAGTGCTTTACATTGAGGATAGGCTTTAATTCCATGCGTTGAAGCCCATAATCTTCTGTAACTGTGAGTCTACTGATGCCTAGTAAAGATAAAGAAAGCTTATTCATAGCAAAAGAAACGATACCATTTGAGAAAGAGCATCACTTAATTGTTTTTCGGCTTTTGTGGTATCCTAAAATGAAATATATTTTACAAAATTACCAATCTTACGATATCAATCCCCATGTACTGGTCCACACGACTAGATAATAATGTCTTCCGTTCTTTCATTTCCTCGATTTCCTAATAAGATTGGTTAAGCGAATATACAAACAGAACAAACCTTCTTCCATAACATCAAAAGGCGCTGATCAGGTGCTTTTTCCACAGATGACAATAACTCCTATCAGTAACAAAAACATCTAATTAGTACGGTATCTTACACTTAATTGACGATCAGATTCCCTTAGGGACTTCGATAAATTTGAATACTTTTCTTTAATATGTTGCATGGAACGCATATCTGACAGCACACTTTCTTGAGAAAGGCGCCAATCATTAGAAAATCTATGAGGGACGAAAGGATACATTAAGTATAGAATTAAAATTTATTTGTTTTCGAAACACGAAAACAATTTACAGGTAGTAATTACGAAATTCACTATAATTTTCAAAATTTGTTTGGTTTTTTTCATGTGTTTTTTCACATGGCGTTTTCATGAACATATACGAATGTTACTAATTAGGTGTTTTTTTCATGCATAAAAAATAGCCTTTGTTAAGAAACAACGAAATGTTTACTGCATGATCTCCCAATAGGACGAATGAATTCAGTAACATAATTCTGACATTAAACGAATAAATGTGCCTCATAAAAAAAGTAAAGAGCAGAAATAATGAATAAAAACCCAGCAAAATGGTGTGTACACTTAAATTTACAGAAACATCGGATAACCAGCCTTGCTAACTGATTAATCTTACAGTGAATATGGTCAATAAAAATTAACTGCCATCAAAATGCCTTAAGATTACACTGACTTGTATAAGAAAGTTTTCATCCAATCGAAAAATCAGACAATCATGTGATAAAACAATTATGGGCAGTTAGCACAAAAAGATCTGAGACCGGAAAACCATTAATAACGGAAACAATAATCTACCAATGTAACTTTTCATAATAAATTCAACAATCTTACGTGGGTTACAATTAATTAGAACACTACATTTAAGAAGCAAATTAGGTGAGTAACCAAGGACTATGGTGAGGATTCGTATTACTCACAAAAGACAAAGGTTCCTGGTGACCTGAGTACAAGAAAATGCCCCCAAACGCCGTGGTACGGATGAGGGTGCGGAAAGTCAGCTCTTCTTTTCGAAATCCTCGCACATAGCCATGCGTATACAGCCACTGCCAGAGAGGTCCTACTCAATACCTACTCGTGGTGGGAGTGTTGTTTACGAAATTGAGAGATGGAAAAGCGAATGCCTGGCGCTTGAACCGGATTTGTGGATATGGAGGATCCACCTAGGGGAGTTGGAAAACCCTGATTCCAAACTAATGGTGCACATGGGCTCCAGGATTGTGAAGGAACAAATGACGTATGAGACAATTGTTGGTCACCAGCTACCATGGGACTGCATTTCTCAACGTTGACTCCCTGTCTTGTGAATGAGACAACTAGTTCAAAGACTCGGGATTGGCTCCCTAAGGAAACCACTTGCTTCGGTCTGGGCAGTATCACAGCCCACACACAAATCAAGTGACTTGTGTAGCGCATATGTATTCCGTGCCCCTCTGTACCACTATTAATGTGTTCAAGTAAAATAAATAAAGAACGTTAATCCGTCATTATTATTATTTGAACACATAAATAATGGTACAAGGGGGGGCACCAGATATATATGCGCCACACTAACGATGAGAATGGGAAGAGAAAAAGTGCAACGTGCGTATAAGAGAGGAGAAAAAAGAACAATAACGACCACAGATTAGTGTATGGAAGTGTATTAATAATAATAGTATTAAGGGAAACGGAAAGCTACAACCGGAAAGAATTCTTTCAGTTAGGGTAGTCACAACCACTTTTTATAAAGTAAGAGAAGGTTACAACAGGATCACCACTGGCTTCTATTCTAAGCCATATCTGATAACATCTCTAGCCACTGTGTAGCAACAACTCTAGGAACCCAACCAGGAAGTCAGGAAGGACCAACAGAAGCCAGCCCTTTGCAGCTTCCTTTCATACCACGACATCATGTCATACACTGACCACCTCACCGCTTTTCCCAACCAGTCCCAGCGTCGGAAAATAATGGACGACATTCGTAGAACATATCCAAGCAAGTGAAGTCGATGTTTCAAAATAGTGACATCAACTGAATTATCTTCAATGTCCCCATTGCCGAACATCTGCATAACTAACATGGTGTTGTCACTGGGTGTCAGCAATCCTTCGGTGACAACGATGACCAAACATAGAGAGTCGTCTAACATCCTCAACTCAAAGAGGCCAGGTCGCACAAGCATAGAGCGAAACTGCTCTCACAGACGTGTTGTAAACCCGACCTTTTACAGCAACACTGACATCACTAAGACGACAAAGATGGCCCAGATTGACATAAGCTGCTCTAGCTTTCACTATACGTAAATCGATCTCATCACTCACGCCGCCACTAGCATTTATGCAGCTACCTAGACACACGAATTTCCTGACTACTTCAATCTGCTCACCACCTAGAGTACAGGATCAGAATCCTGCCAGTCTTGTAGAAGTACTTTGCACTGCAAAGGTTCAAAGCACAGACCGTACCTACGGACACTGATTTTCAAATGATTAAATGTGGATTGTATGGCTTGGGCATTATCGCACAGTAAAACAATATCATCATGCTAGTAACCGACTGCCATCCTCAAAAATCTCAGGGGTAAACCTGTTAGGGCCTGCTGCTTTCTCTCACTTCAGATTTCTCGTAACTTTTTCAATCTCATAAAGAGTTGGTGGATTTACATTAACTTTCCATTCAGGTCAACTAGAGATCGTGAGAAATCGAAGTGTGGCTGAAGGCCAGTTGAACTGATCCCTAAAGTGTAATGCCCATTGATCCAATCTCCTGGATTGAGAATGAATAATATATTCACCTTTTTCCGAGATAGTTTCGCTGACAGTTGGGTTCCTAATACCGGTTTTATTAACAGGTCTGAACAGTCGTCTGCTGTTACCTATTGACACTGCCTTTTCCATCTGTCTTGCTTTCGCTACTCATCACTGTTCACGATCATTGCGTAGGCTTCTTATCGGCCTGCGCTTAAGTTGACTCCGCTCTTCGTTATGTTAAGAACCACATGGGATGAGTTTTCGAGCATCTATCAATGCGGTAGATGCTTCTGAGATTCAGTGTTCCTCCCTAGCCTTATAGATGACAGTGCTAGCAGATATCACTGCTGTTTCCATAGCTTTTCGGATGTCATTCCACGCTGCCTCGGAGTGAGCACAACTTACATGGCTGTTTAACTGTTTTTTCTAGTTGTTCGTGAAATATATTCTTAGCTTGTCTATCATTAAGTAGAACCCTAAGAGGTTTCCTTGTAGCGTCTTTTCTACGTCCAAAAAGACCCAGACCGATAGGTGCTCGCACTAGAGTATGATCTGAATCTAAACATGTGCTCCAGAATGAGCGGCAGTCTTCTATCGAGCCCCTCCACCGGTGGCTGATAGCGATGTCAGTCAGTTAGTCAAACACAACGTAGCGATGTGATCTGTTTGAGTCCAACGTTGGGAAGAATTCGAGGGTCGCCATGTCAAAAGATGTTTTTTTGTGTGCTTAAAGTTAGTATTTTCAAGAAACAGGCGGTTATCTGAGCATAGCTGCAACACACGGTCGCCATTATCTGTTCTTTGAGACACGACATCATAAGATTCACCCAGGTGTCTTTCCTTTTCGCTTAGTTTACCTACTTGAGCATTAAAGCCACCAGCCACTATTACTACATCAGAGCGCCTAGCTTTTCGGAGATCAGAAAGCTTTCTGTAAAGCTCATTTATTACCTAATGTGAGCTGCAGTCAGTGGGATAGTAGGCAGAGACGACGAAGAGGCGAACATATTGACTTGACATGTAAATTAAATTCAGCATTCAATATCAGTTATTAACTACCATGACTTCAAATATCATATGAAAATGGCTATGGACAAAACAGATATCCAGGATGTTCAATGAAAAAAGACGCCACAAGGGTTGGAAATAAGGATAATTGAGATTTACTAACCTGTTCAACACGAGGACATAATGAAACTTAGTTGTACTAAATATTTTATTTCACGCTAAACAAACTACCTTACTAAATTCCTCTCCATCTCCTCGACTTCCATAATAATTGTCCTTAGTGAATTGTATGAACTCTCTAAAGAGGTAATCAATGTTTCTAAATTGTCCTGGTATTCTTTGGATGCAAGAACACGATTTTTGATGCTGGATAATATATACGGAACAAACAGATACCTGTGGATAGAACAACTACGACAATCGATCTCCGAAAGCCGCAATGCTAATTGGTTTACTTTGTGACGGATGTCATTATTAGGTTTAGAACCCAGTCTAGCGTGGAATCTATCCAACAGAGTTGAGAGGCGAGTTTCTGGAATGATAGTATAGATATTTCAAGAACTACAAACCATCCGTAGAAAATCCATCTCTAACTTTCTTTTTCATCAATTCAATGGCCTCGTGAGAGTTTCTGTTGATCGTTTTCAATTCATTATCAGAAGGATCTAGTACATTTTTAAATTTACTGAATAATTCCCCAGGGATGTATTTCAGATTCTAAAAGGAGGATAAAATAATGAGAATATACCTCGTGATCCGATTCACGCCGCATTTCCAAAGAATGAATTCAGACCTTTTAAAACAGATGCTGATAGTTCGCAGTCGAAATGGATTCAAAGAAGGCTGACGAGAACTTAGTTCAATAACGAAACTAGAGAGGAAAATGGGAAAATAGGAGGCAGACTAACTGCAAGACAATGTAAGCGGATAAACATGATAACCCTAAAACAGATTTCGAAAACACTTGTAGAGGACTTGGGTAGTTGGAAGCGAATACCCTGGGCATTATACTTCATACGGAAACCGAACGTCAAAGTTGATAGCGCGATTTGTAACTGGTTTTACAAAAAATTTGATTAATAAACATTGACGGTACGTAATCTCGTAGTCCTTAAGCTAAATTGCAGAACTCCTAAGGCCGATTGTGTAGTCAATGAGTAATCAAGTATTCACTGAAGCCAGATATCATTCTCCCTCTCTAAAACTTGTTTACACCTTGACCCAAAGTTTCACATGTTTGTAATCCAAATTGTTAAAGAAACTACTGCGCTAAAGATGGTGTCAGTTCGTGATGAAAACTATAACTTCACTTTCAAATACTATTTCAGAACTCCAGTATCACTCTGAATACTTAGATCTGTTTCCTGTATTAGGAATGATAGCATTTTGTTGCATAGACTTCATGGTGATAGCCCTAACTCACAACACTAGCTCGACTCCCAATAGGAAAACCTGGTCTTAATCATTAAATACGTATTGTTGTACAACAGACAATTAGACATGTCAGTTAACGATCCAAAGAAATTTCACTATTCCGCTGCAGTTTTATTGATTTGCATTGTTGTTTTATAGCTACGCTAAGTTAGCTAGGGCTTTCAGTGTAGTATGTCTTTGCCGAAAATTCGGCCATATGGATAACTTCCTCTACCTTATGCATTACGATTTTAAAACCTTTGAACGTTTTCCTAACCTTGACAAGTTTTTGGACCACATTAAAGGATGTATCCACTTTAATTATTTGATTTTGTATAATGTATTTTTACTCTATGCTAACTGTTTACTGATTGACTAATATTTTCAAGGTCAGTTGAGATTCGCTCAAAGGTCGTCCATAAATTATAGTTTCGTTGAAAATTCTACTATTTGATTAAGAACTATGAATAATTGACATATGATGTAGTAAATTGAGAATTATTCGTGAAAAAATATAAAAAGATTGGTATGTTAAAAATTTTAAAATCAGCTTAGTCAGAGATCGACAAATATATGTTACAGCCCCCCACTTTGACTACTTTGAGACCCAATTCATGGTGAGCGGTTAAATACACAAGGCCTTAATAGCGTATAAGACAAAGAAAGAAGAGTCGAAGAAATCAACTTTCAATAATACTTTGATAGAGGGAATGAAAGAAGGAGTTTCTGAAAAACGTTAGTTTTCAGTTTTAGTGAGTTATGGTTAACTCTGGACAGAGGCTAAGATAAATGAAACAAAATATAAAAATCTAAAAACATTTATATTTATAGGCAAAACACAACACTGTTGTAACTATACCAAGACGTGTCCATTACCAGTATCTGGAGGATCATTAGGGATTCATAGGATCAATAAAATCCCACCAAACTCTAGTCAAACTATCCATCAAACTGATAAGTGGTTGTCGAACATCTTATTGAACCCCGAAAGGGTCAAGGATAACTATGATTGGCGATATAGACCACCTACATTGGTGATCTACAACACAAAAGTTTATTCATTATTTTTTTCATTGACTTTCTGTGAGGCTTTTTATAGTGACGATACAGCTTTTTGACTAAGTTGATATAACTGCATGGGCAAGGAAAAGTGGCGAAATCCATTTACAGCCACTCTCCTTTTAGGTGATTGACAGTAAAAAGGAAAAAGACTCTAATACTGCGACACAACTAAATTATTTCATATCGACAAATATTCCTGTAGTCAAAAGTGCAGAACAATTCGGAGTATATATTAACCTAATTTGTACACGTGTCGCATTATATCATCGTTATGCCATTTGAATTCAACAAATACTAATACCACCTTTACCATTTTCCATTAAACTCATTGTAGTCTTTATTGATATGTGTATTCGGTTCTGTGGATTGAGCAATCATGTTGAACCTATAATGGCATCAAAAACACTTGCGATGATAAAGTTATAGAATTATGGTCTAGTTCGGCTTTAGTACTACTATAATTATAGACTTAGACCTGAAATTATAGATTTGTCATGATATGAATGTCTAATGTGTAAAATCTTACTTGAAAGTCCCATCATTGTCTACACTAACTCATGTCGTAAGATTCAGTAATATACCGTCTAACATTTGTAAAGAACGCAGGCTGAAGAGAGAATAATATACTTTATGTGAAGAAGGACAAATTATGCAGAAAGACCACGTCTGCAAGGCTGAAACACGCCATCTGATTACTTGAAATGAATCTTCCACGTAACCTTGCTGAACTTTTCTTCGTGTTAACTGTTGGATATAAATCTTTTATTAATAATAATATATTCTTTTAATATATAATATATTATTTACAGAATTCACACCAGTTTACAGGCATGATCAGATTGATATAAAAAGCAACATTTAATGTAGAGAACAAACATGAAATATAAGATTGTTTTATGTTTGCTGGTTTAGTAATTGCTAAGTAGTTTATATATGGCATATATCAAGGCTAGCCAATGCAACACCAGGGAACTTTTGATTTTTTCTTAAGTGGATAGCCTGATGATTTACGAACGTATTGAATTCATAAGTCAATTGATGCTAGATTACCATAGAAAATCTGGAAGCAATGAACGGTCGTTTCGTCCTAGTGTGGGACTCCTCAGTGATTATATGCTCAGCTTCAATAGTCGTGTGGTTAGGAACCAACGCCACTACAAAGTCACCGCAGTATGATATTATTTTGCTGAGCCAGTATAACAACTAAAGTGATGCATATTTGTTAGTCTAGCAATTATCCAACACAAAGTTTATGGATCCTACAACCGAAATAAACACAACGTGAACAAGTATTTATGGATCGCCATAAACTTTTGATATTTTTGGACCTCCCAAAACAACAATACTCATTTCCGATTAGCTAGTCCTAAATCCGCACTATAACTAGTTAAATATGACCGTTTCTAGATATCATCATGAAGCATTGTCATGACTTGATAATCACGTTATATGATTGATAAATTTAGTGAAACTATCAACCAGAACTCTGTTGATAAACTAACTTATAATTACGATTGAAAATATTGTTTTCTCATTGTTATCTTCATCACTTGTCGATGATCTCAGTATGTTTCTCTATTACTTGCTAATTAAACATACATCTTAAAACCTTGCCAGTCTAATTGGAGGTTGAGCGACACAATCATACTTGCAAATCATCAGTATAAGTGGTCAAACCAATCTCCTGCAAACTGAAAACATCATTGTCGAATTTATCCAACACTGATTTATGTTCACCCATTATTTATCATCTCGTGGAGATTGATTTAGCCGAAAGTATCATACAACACCATGTCACCTATACTCGTACTGCATCAGTTTAGTTGATCTCAACATCATATAATCACTATATTTCAAATACGTCGATTCCTATCTTATGCTAGACTCGATACATGCACCGTCGACTGGTCATTATGAATGTAGATAATCAGTTTATGGCATATCAAAGGATTATATCTAGAGCATATTTCTCAATGACCCACTCATGTTTGACTAATTACTGTCAGCCGTCTGCCGGAGATTCACATGACTGTCACGATTTTCACGTATTCAAGTATTTGGATTCATGTATATTAGTAGTCTTAGTAAATCCTGTCACGATTAAACAATAATAAGGTGGGGATATCTCATCGTAGCCAAGTGAACGTTTCTGAACCTAAAGAACTAATTGGAACATTAGTTGAAATTCTTCCTTCCCGAGGTTACACATTTTTCCCTTCACTTCGCCTACTAATGCACATGCTTTTGGAAATCAACTCATATGGACAGCATACCCGCATAAACGTTAACTGACATTCTAGTTTAAATCAAAATAACAATATCAACATTTGTACAATATTGATTGTTTTTCTATTTCTAGCCGCAAAATAATTATACTACCCACATGTTAAATTCTTAATCAACAGTGACAGTCTTGACGTAACTTCTTAAAACACCCCCGTACTAGATCATTTTTCATTATGAAAACCTCACTTTGTTTGACGCTGAAATAATAGTCACGCAGATTTTCATTCTGAACATATTCAGAATTAAACTGAGCATTTTGAAATTATTGCATATATTTCCCAATCAGTTGCTGTTATCTTTTTGATTTGTCTTTCAGTTTATCAATGACCGGGAGGTTTTCATCCTTCTGTTGGTAACCTCCGTCGAGCAAGAATCTCACTTCATTCGATATCGAAATAAAGTCATGTTGATTCTGATGGAAGGGCAGAATAGCGGCATCGGTTCTCAACCACACGACCCTTGAAGCTTAACATTTTTATTCAACATGTAACACTTAAAGAAGGTCAGCAATGAAGAAGTCGGGAAAAAAACAAAATGGCATGGCTCGATCATTCAGGAGTGGTCACTTTTTGTAACCTGTTGCTTCTGTACCAAAAATATCACCCCTTTCTTAGTCAACATGTGCCCTTCAGAAATGATGGATCTCATATTGCAAGTATAGAAAATGGCGTGGCTTCCGCGTAAGATCATGTCATATCATGACATCCGATAAAGAAACCTTTGGATCGTTTTCTTCCCAAGTTATCAAGTACAAATTTATACATACCAGTGAAAAAACAACAGGAAATACGATTTCATTGTGTTTCGTGAAAAATTATGTTTACTGATACTAAAATTGGACTGAAAATCACCTTGGATGTGTAAGACCTTGCGAAGATGATAGGAGAATAAGTAGTATAAATCCTAGAAGTTACCTTCCAATTATTGTGAGTTGTTTAAATTTCGTTAAAACGCTTTACATCATTCGAGAACAAAACTGGTTACGGTACATCTCGGGCTACATTAAAAATCTGTTGATGACACCTGCACACTTGAAAACGAAAAGAAACCTACAGAGAGATGTCAATGGAAAAACGCGATGGTATTGGAAGCAACCAGTTCTAAGTTCGAATCTTGGAGAGACTCTTTACTTCAAAGTTACCCAGCTGACAATTCTCAATAGAGACTAAGCATGCTTCTTGGATCCCACTAGGGGAAAACATCCATCCCTTCTTATAATGCATGTGACACACTTGCAATATCGACAGTATGTATAGGATAACGATACGCTGAAAGAAACTAATCGATTGCAGTCGTAAAAATGTGTGGGAAGTCATGAAAGATCAACGCGAGCAAATTGAAGCTTATCTTTACATATCTAGAAAGAAACATTTGATATGTTCCCCTCCTTTTACGGACAGTAGAGCAAACTCTAACCTTAATTTTTGGAGGCTTATAATATTCTTTTATTATGTGCTCTTGTTATGTTTGTGTACACTAGTGATTCTTTTGTATTTTATGCTCGCCTGTATTCGAATTCCAAATGCAGTACATTCTCTTGTACTCAATTGGTTCTATTTGCTGTTAATTGCACTATTTCGGAAATTCCTAGTTCGCATAATAATTTGAAAACTTCTAATCATCACTGTTCTTCTAGAGCGAGATACGATTCTGAATAGTGTTATGATAGGAAATCAATCTACTTACGACAATAACAACAGGTAGTCTTTTAAACTGTGTCCATCGTTCCCATGGTGTTACACATGGACTGTTTCAGCTTTTGGACTGTTCTTCAACAGTTAATTACTGAGGCTGATTACCTAATACAGCCTTCCGTAATCTTCAGAGTGAATAACTTTGAAATACATTACCAGGAAACCACTTGTTTCTTATATACAGTAACCAACTAACCCTTTGTTGTTCATTGTGCGGACCCACACAAAACGTTGATAGGTGACAGCCCAAATGTGACCCTTTGGTCACATTCATTCGCCGAACAGTTTATTTGTTTGCTTACTTACTTACGTCTGTTACCCCGAATGAGGCACGGGCCACCGACCAGCATTCTCCAGCCCACTCTGTTCTGGACATTCCTTTCTAGTTGTATCTAATTTTTGTTCATTCTCCTCATGTCTGTCTCCATTCCAGCGTAATGTGTTTTTCGGTCTTCTACTTTTCCTTTGGCCTTCAAGATTCCATGTAAGGGCTTGCCTTGTGGATATTTGAATGATTTCCTCAATGTGTGTCTTATCCACTTCCAGCGCTTCTTCCTGATTTCTTCCTCCACTGGAATCTGGTTTGTTGTCACCCACAGTAGCTTGTT